ATTGGACGTAAAAAGAAAATGCGAGGCGCAGTATTCTGCATCTTAAGATTTTAAGCCGGTAAGGGTGGGTACTTAAACATATAAATGGAAACTAGAGTCCTTAAGGTAACAAAGGCTACAAAGGACAGGGACAGCGCATCACCTATTATATCCAGAAATCCATATGGGGACTGAAAACTTTGCAATGATGACAATTACTGAAGATATGAATCAACTATGGTCAGTGTTGTGCTGTAAAATGTTTAATAACTGAGGGACCCCCCCCCCTCGAGTGCACAAATTTTGTGCACCGGGCTACTAGTTTTTTCATATGTCTCTTGGCCATCTGGATGTCCTCTTTAGAGCCATATCTATTCAGGTCCTTTGCCCATTTTTTTATTGGGTTGTTTGTCTTCCTTTTGTTAAGTTGTATGAGTTATTTATATATGTTGAAAATTAACACCTTATCAGATGTGTCATTGGCAAATATATTCTCCCATGCAGTGGGCTCCCTTTTCATTTTGTTACAGGGTTCTTTTGCTGTGCAGAAGCTTTTTATTTTTAAACATCTGTTTATCTCCTTTGTTTCTTTTGCCCTAGACCATGGTTGGCAAACTGCGGCTCGCGAGCCACATAAGGCTCTTTGGCCCCTTGAGTGTGGCTCTTCCACAAAATACCACATGCGGGTGCGCGTACAGTGCGATTGAAACTTCCTGGCCCATGCGCAGAAGTCGGTTTTCGGCCTGGGCGAGTCTATTTTGAAGAAGTACTATTGATATTTGGCTCTGTTGACTAATGAGTTTGCCGACCACTGCCCTAGGAGATGTATCAGCACAGATATTGCTACGGGAGATGTCTGAGATTTTGCTGCCTATGATTTCTTCTAAGATTTTTATGGTTTTCCGACTTACATTGAAGTCTTTTATGCATTTTGAGTTTATTCTTATGTATGGTCTAAGTTGAAGGTCTAATTTCATTTTTTTGCATGTACCTGTTCAATTTTCCCAACATCATTTGTTGAAGAGACTGTCTTTACTCTATTGTATTCCCTTGCCTCCTTTCTCAAATACTGATTGAGCGTAATGGCTTGAGTTGATTTCTGGGTTCTCTGTTCTATTCCACTGATCTATATGCCTGTTCTTGTGCCAGTACCAGGCTGTTTTGTTTACAACAGCTTTGTAGTATAATTTTATATCTGGTGTTGTGATCCCTCCAATTTTGTTCTTCTTTCTCAAGATTGCTGCTGCTACCCAGGGTCTTTTTTGGTTCCATATAAATTTTTGGAGTATATGTTCTAGATCTGTAAATATGCCATTGGTATTTTAACAGGAACTGCATTGAATCTATAGATTACTTTGGGTAGTGTGGACATTTTGATGATGCTCATTCTTCCAATCCATAAACACGGTATATTCTTCCTATGTTTGTATCTTCCTCTATTTCTTTTTTTTAATGTCCTATAGTTTTCGGAATACAGGTCTTTTGCCTCTATGGTTAAATTTATTCCAAGGTGTATATTTTTGTTGCAATGGTAAATGAGATTTTTTTTTTTTTTAGTTTCTCTTTCTGAGAGTTCATTATTGGTCTATAAGAATACCATCAATTTCTGGATGTTAAATTTGTATTCTGCTACTTTGCCAAATTCATTTATTACATCTAGTAGTTTTTTGGTGGAGTCTTTAGGGTTTTCTCTGTACAGTATCATGTCATCTACGACTAGTGACAGTTTTATATCCTTTTTTCAATCTGGATGCCTTTTGTTTTTTCTTCTTGTCTGATTGATGTGGCTAGGACTTCCAATACTATCTATAATAATAAAAGTGTAATATGCTAATTAGACCGGACAGCTGAACGACCTTCCAGACGTCATTCCAAACGTTCTTCCTGACGAAGCTGTGGCGGCAGGGGCCAAGGCAGAGGTGGTTAGGGGCAATCAGGCAGGCGAGCAGTTAGGGGCGATCAGGCAGGTAGGTGAATGGTTAGGGGTGATCAGGCAGGCAGGCAAGTGGTAGGGGTGATCAGGCAGGCAGGTGAGTGGTTAGGGGCGATCAGGCAGGCAG